TCTTCAGTGATGATGTGAAAATAATGCCATGAAAATTATGGATCCGTTTTCTGATACAGGTCATGATGGGTGAGTGGTATGCAAAGGTACATTTGTACTATTTAAGGGTATATTTCAGTTCAAACCTACATATGAATTTGAACCATATTTGTGTTTTATTATATTTATTATCTTTTGACCACAGATAATGTATCTAAATATCTTATTTAGTGTCAAATAAAATATACTATGCTATACTATTTATATTGTACAAGGGTATAATTATACTAATCAAGGGTATATCTATACTAATCAAGAGTATATCTATACTAATCAAGGGTATATCTATACTAATCAAGGGTATATCTATACTAATCAAGGGTATATCTATACTAATCAAGTGTATATTTATACTAATCAAGGGTATATTTATACTATTCAAGGGTATATCTATACTAATCAAGGGTATATCTATACTAATCAAGGGTATATCTATACTAATCAAGGGTATATCTATACTAATCAAGGGTATATCTATACTAATCAAGGGTATATTTATACTAATCAAGGGTATATTTATACTAATCAAGGGTATATCTATACTAATCAAGGGTATATTTATACTAATCAAGGGTATATCTATACTAATCAGGGGTATATTTATACTAATCAAGGGTATATCTATACTAATCAAGGGTATATCTATACTAATCAAGGGTATATATTTATACTAATCAAGGGTATATATTTATACTACCGGGTAATACTATTTTTCTGTGTTTGGTGAATCTGTTTGTATTCAACATTTCTAGTTGACATTTAATTATGTTGTAATAAATGTGATGTAAACTATAAATATTATACATATTTGATTATTTCTAGAAACTCTCAACAGCAGAATGTATATTTACAGCCATCATGTGAAAAAGGTAAAGTTTAGTTAACATGTTGTTATTTACAAGAATGGTAGCATTCAGTTAAATGGGTCATGAACATAAGGAGAGGTGTGTTATTGGGTCTCCCTTATCGACAAATTGTAATGCCTGTAATTACCTGATGTTAAGACTTGTGAGAGAATGAATTACTGTAAAAAACATGTTGAAAAATTGACATGCAATTTTAGCAAATTGTGATAAAATGACGTAATAGCGAAATGTTGATTTAGCGAATCTCTCTTGTCATTGATGATTTCCTGTTTTCACAATACTTTTCTGTCGCGTGCCAAAACAAATGGGCAGTTATCACCTCCATAAAAACAAAGAAAAAGTGTAATTAAGAAGCGCCACAGATTTTTATAATCCAGATTACTGTACACAAATCCCCAAGCCTTGGCCATTTTGAATTTATAATAAAGTCATTAGCGGCATCTTGAATTAGCGAATCACTTCTCTCGCTAAATTTGCTAAAAAGACATGCTCGCGAAAAAAAATGTTTTACAGTAATCTCATAGTAAGCATACAATGAACATTTTAAAACTTGATTCCTATCCATCTGACCATGTGCTGACTTTATTAACTGTCTTGTCTCTCTAGGTATACTGTATAACTACCCTGCAGTTTTGAAGTTACTGAATCAAAAACTTCCATTCGGTCTCGCTGAAATTGCTCGCTGCTTCAGGAAGAATATACATGACAATTCGGACAAATTTTTATTCAAGTTAGTGTTCTATGGTACATACTACTGACCAAATGTGTATATGTATATGGTTGCGCGGATGAAAGGAAAATTTTAGTGTTTTTTGGCAATAATACTTTGCTATACAAACTCAATGGTGCTTATTGACATTTTTTTATTGAATTTATTTGTTTTTATTGACATGAATTTTGAAGGTTAGGTGAACTTTTTAAATGTTTGTTTAGAACACTAATCATTAGAACTCTTAATAAAGGGTGTAGTAATAATGATGTTGTTATTAATTAACTTTAATGTGATGTTTGTACTCCATGTATTAATACTACGGGTAAATAACTAACAAATGCACCCTTTGTATGGAAATAAACAAGCAACCTCTCGCCTGAGATAGCTCCACTGTTAGCAATGCACATTTCAATTAAAGAACTGAAGATATCATTAAAAAATGAACAAATCTTAAAGAGGTCCACATGTATAACATCAAAGCAATTGGACTTGTGGTTTTTAACAAGAAGTCAAAAATATCACTTTTCACCAAAACGACAAAAATATTCATCAAAATTAGAGAATTGAAGATATCATCACGAAATGAACAAATCTGAGGGAGGTCTACATGTAGTACCTATATGTAATATCAAAGCCTTTGGACTTGCGGTTTTCAACAAGAAGTCAAAAATATCACTTTTCTCCAAAAATAACAAAAATATTCATCAAAATTAGAGATTTGTATCAAAGAAATAACAGTTGTAGTTTTCAAGAAGAAGTTGAAAAACTAAAAAGTTGACACGGACGACGGTGGACAATCACTCATATGGTAAACTTCGCTCGACTAAGTCGACAGCGGAGCTAAAAGGTGATTTTTCAAAATATAAGTGTAATTTATATAAATGTCTCCTTTTACATGTACTCTTTGTCAGTTTACCTGAATTTACCCAGATGTCTATGCAGTTCTACTCACCGCCAAGCGTGGCAACAAAATGGATGAATGTATGGCAGCGTGAAAGAATTATATGGTGGAGAAAGGTAACACGGAGTGCCGTAATAATATTAGGTTATCACGAGGATACCTCAAAGTATGCACGAAGACAGTATAACGGAAGTATCAACCGATGCACAGTGGAGATCGATGCGATGGCATACTGTCTGATTGCATACTTTGTGGTATCCTCGTAATAACCTTACGGTATTAAATGTATTATACATCTTTTCCTTCCAAGAATACATCATGGGAATGTCAAAATCCAAAAAGTTTAGAACAGAATCAGCGAACTTCTTTGTGTGGAGTCCGGTCAAACCCTGGTGGCAGCCATGTTTGTTTTTATTATTAGAGGACGCTTATGCGCGTAATCATTTCATATTTGGAATTCACATTTCCTTATATGGTAGGATGAAAATACCCCTTAAAATACCGCAAAATTACTGCACGCTGTAATTTATGGCTTTACGGTGACAGATGTATAATAATATGATTATATTGATATTTATGATAATTGATTCTAATCTCTGATATCAGTTTGGATTGAGTAGTGCACACGTATGACATTTCTCCTAAGAAATATAATCCTTGCAGATTAAAATTTACTTACTAATTTGCATAATATTTGCATAATTATTGAAAATAGAAATTGTAATGATTAACATTCTCATTAAAACACAAGTCAAATAATTATTCTCTTCAAGTAAAGATGCAGATTTGTGGGCACTTGGGAGTGAAAAATATTTTTGCTTTTTATTATCCAAACATTCTTGGCTATAGACTGTTAAAATTTTGTAGAATTGTGAATAGTGGAACATACTGTGGAATACTTTATTTTTGCTGGAATTAATTTTCGCTGAAAAGGCTTTTTGGGCGTTTTGTATGGAATTTATTTTCACTGATTTCTGATGAGTTTAATGTGAAATATAGGAAAAAAAGTATATTCGCTGGATTTTATTTTCACGGAATCATCCCTTCAGCGAAAATAGCGAAAATAAATTCCAAGCGAAAATAAAGTATTCTACAGTACTCAAAAAACGATTTTAAAATATAGATGACAGGTGCACACATTCTCTCTTTTGAATGCTTAGCAAGATTTAGCAAGGCTGTTCATAAATAATAAAAAAGAAACATGGTGAAAAAAAGAAATAACAGGATTTCCATATTATGCACTATATTTAACTTTTAACAAAACGATAATGCATTTAAATTGTAACTGTTACAGCCATTTTCATTATGAGCATTAGCAAACTTCTTACTGAGTGAATTGGTATGCAAATTAGCAATTATCTCAGCTTCTTTTTAGTGCACATCCCAGAACTTTAAAAAAAAATAGCTCCTAGACGCTTTGACCTTTTGTTTTGAAATTTTTACAAATGATTGACAATGTGTTTATCTTCAAAACGCCGTTGGGGCATTGTTTTTGGTTGAACAGTGTTACAACAATCGTACAGACAACTAGCCTGGATGTTAATTTATGCATAAACTTGAAGTAGTGAAATTTGAGCTACTGCCCTGCAAAATTGAAAACTGGTAGACAGTTTTCAAGACGGCACTTTCTTCATAGTAAACAGATGTACCCATAAACCAATTTTGACAGGAAACAGAAGCATGGTTTAGAAGCTAATTTTTTTTAAATCACTTTTGACCAAAAAAGCACATTTTTGTGCATATTTCAAACTACATGTACATTGTCCATAAAAAAAAAAATACTAACAAAATTTTAAAATTCATACAATAAGCTGTAAAATATAAAGTTTTGTGGACAAGGGAGGTCATCTTGGTTTCCTAATTAACTATTTAAAATACCTGTCAGGTAAACTGCATCTCTACCTTAAAAAGCTCTTAAAAAGTTTTTAGTAATTTATCAATTTGTTACATGTTATTATGAACTTATTCAATTGAAGAAAAGAAACATCACATTATTATTATTTTATTTCTAACAGTTTGCTGGTTATCCTTCCAAGTTTCACCTAACTGACATTAAAATGACAGAGACACAACAGACAGTCGATATACAGTATGAATTCCCATGGGGAGTGGATTCAGTAGAAATAATCACAAATAGGGGTGATGTTGATTTAGTGGAACTGGAGAGACAGAGTGGAATAAATATGCAGGTATGCAGTAAGGTGGAAAGGGGCTGTCGGCCATTTTGTCAGGATCTTTCTTTGAACAATACAGATATTAATCTTGGATAATAACTATATTTAAAACCTCATGTTGAATAGAATAAGTTTAAACGTGATTTACTGAATGGAAAATATATCATCTGTGATGTTGTTACTCTTTCTCTCATAGGGAAGATATGGGAGGAAGGTTGTAACACCGGTAGTCATAGAAACCACTGCTGGACTAGATCGAGGAATGTTAGCATATCTCTTGGATGCGTATCAAGAAAAAGAGAGATCAGATACAAGGGGCAAACTAAAGGAACGAAAGGTTATTAATAAGTGTCACTATCTTATCTGTGTATAACGTATCAATGTGTCATTCATCGATATATGGGTTACATGTCACTGGTCAATGTGTCACATATTCATGTTTCACTCAGTGTAATGTGTCACTTGTCATTGTATCAATGTGACACAGAAATGTCATTTCTCAATATGTGTCACTTTTCATATGACGTGTATTCATGTGTCACATATTCATGTTTCACATGTGTCACGTGTCACTTCTCAATGTGACATGTATTCCTGTGTCACATATTCTTATCATGTATTCATTCATGTGTCAATTCTCAATGTGACATGTATTCATGTGTCAATTCTCAATGTGACATGTATTCATGTGTCATATATTCTTCTCATGTATTTATTCGTGTCTATTCTCAATGTGACATGTTTTCATGTGACATGTATTCCTGTGTCACATATTCTTGTCATGTATTCATTCATGTGTCATTTCTCAATGTGACATTTATTCCTGTGTCACATATTCTTGTCATGTATTTATTTGTGTCTATTCTCAATGTGACATGTATTCACTTGTCACTTCTCAATGTGACATGTATTTATGTGTCACTTATTCTTATGTCATTTTCAATGTGACATGCATTCCTATGTCACATATTCTTGTCACGTATTCATAATTTGACATTTGTAGATTTTGCGGTTACACATGAAGATTACACCTATCAAAGTTGTGGTTCATCCTATTAAGAACACCAGAGAACTAAGAGAGGTGAGATACCATATGTACACTGTCATGTCTATGGACAACCACTCGGACATCAATCTGATTATTGTAGATATTTGATGGGGTGGTTGTAAGTTCATTTACCTATTTTTTTTATTTTAAATTAATTTTTTTTATAATCGTTTGTTGCATGGAGTATTTTTTTGTACTTCAATCAACTGTAAATGTATATAGCATTAATAGTAAATTTATTGCATCCTTAGAAATACTTTCTATTGGTTGATAGCAATAAAATGTTAGTAATAAAATCAATACATAAATAAACTGTCAGTTATTGCTATTTCTGATATTTTGTATAAATATTCAAATTAAACTCATAATTTATTTAAATACCACTTTTTAATTCTTCTGGAATATTGATATTGCTAAATAACTTTTCGCTTTCTGTTTGGTACCCAAGACATTCCATGAAAAATTGTCTTCATTTTCAATTTTGTTTTGACAACATTGCTTTACAGATTCTGATTTCAAGCAACACAGCTATATTGCGGCATTTCGTGGCACACTTTAGTAAAGTCACAAAACAATCAATATCACTCATTTACATAATTACTGTTTTTTTTCAGATTTCTGAGCATCTTGCCAAAGAATTGCGTCTGTCTGGTGTAAACACGCTCTATGTGTGTGATGCAATGACCTTGGACCAACATCTTGTCAGGTAATTAATAAGTCTTACCACTGAGGGCGCTCTCAATCCCACAATGAACATAGCATACATGTAATTGTTTGTCAAAGATTTCATGGCAATTTAAGTATCTTCTCTGCCTTTTAATATGGCTAGGTTTTCAAAGAAATCTTGACACATGCACATGTAATTATTATAAATTTGGTATACTGTCAGGTATAATATTCATAGTTGAAAAATACTGTGTGCTCCTGCCAGTGAAATATGTACATGCATGTTTCCTTTATCTCATATGTTTGATATACATGTAGTTGGACTGAGGGTTTAATGTCAAAATTTCAGTCTGCAAATATTTTTTTTTCCTTGATAGGTTTGATGAGATGGGTGTGCCATTTACTGTAATAATCAATGAAGGCACTTTAAAGACTGGTGTGATTGGCATGAGAAGTAGAGATACTGCACTAAGGGTAGGAATCTGTTAGCTCTTGCTATCTGCAAAAACTGTCCTCAAAAAATGAGTTTTCACAAATTATATATTCTTTTACATTGTCATAGTTTGTTTATTTATTTGACCAAGATAAGCATCAATCAGGATTGGTTATCTTCCCCAGGGCCCTCTATTAGTAGTATAAAGTATGAAACGCATTAAAATTTATCAGCGCTTAATTATTTGGCGATCAGAAGTTGTTGCAAGTACGGTATATTATGAAATGCAGTACATAAAAAAAAATACAACAATAGTGTTCACTGTTGTGGTGGGATCAACTTGGTGCATGTTATACACATCTCTGTGTTGGCAACTGATCTTTCCTATGAGGTGCTAAAAGCCCTTTTTGAATGAAATTATTTGTTGTGCATAATTGCTAATTTTATAACAGTCAGTCATTGTTGATCATTTTCTAGCAGCAGCAGGCTGGCTTACCACACCTTAGCGTAACAAATCAATTGACTACACAGGTAAAAGCTTTGCCCAGATAAGTGCACTCCTTGATTAATAGTGGTTCATTCATTACAGGAACAAATGCACATCACAGAAGTCAAAACATTATTACTGGAACACCTGAAGAAAGAATGAGTTAGCATGTGATCACTACCCATTTGGAAGTATACATTGAATGTTGTGAATACTACTCAATCAGTAATATATCACTGTAAACCACTTTTACCGGTAATTATGCGAGTCCGGGGCACGTACGACATTCACATTTAACCATTTTTCCTGCATTACCAATTACCAATTTTGTAATTTATGTCAGAAAATCAAACCTGGTGATATAATGAGCTGAAATTCAGCTGTATCTTTCATGACAACTATATTTTAAGGCATCATTTATCATAAAGAAAGTGTTGCACCGAAGGGCCATTACATTTTGCAATATATCTATAATCACAGGTACAAGCATTAAAAATTAAAATGGTTCGACTGTCCATTTCAAGTTTAGTCTGCTTTATCTTGTATTTTCTTGCATCCAGGAATACTTGTCCTACTTTCTATTCAACACACAACCACTAGTTGTTTAGATACATTGTCAGTATTTATTTACATTATACATGGCTTAGATAAAAAATAAAATAAATTCAAAACTATTTGGCATTTCTGGAAAAGTTATTTCACAGCTATAAATACAGAGTAATGATTTGGGTCTGTACAAATTTACAAGTGACAGGCATATATATCATTGTTCAGCTACATTAATAAACTACCAGTGTAAGATTCTAGCAGTATTATGTACTGCAATGGCGCCCTCATGAGGTTTTATTGATATATACATATATATACAAATAAGTTTCAACAAAATGGCAATAATTTAGTAAAATTTACATGAGCTTTTACAGCGTTATAAAAATACAAGGGTTATGATCGTGCTTGCAGAAATATTTATTGAGCATTTACCTAATTTTAAATTTTTTTTTTTCTAGTTCCTTGATTTTGATAAGTCGGCATAGCATACATAATGAGACATTGCTTGCATATTAATATGAATATTAGAAAAAAAATTATGCATTGGTTGCACAATTTGTGGGAAATGACCACATAAACATTTCAGTGAGACAAAGCGTGCATCGCTACCTGGAACCAGGAATTGTGGGTAATAATAAATAGGGTTCCTTCTTCTCCTCTGGAGTTCCTGGTGGTGGCGTCAATGCAAACTCGTTTAATTCAGATTCAGTCGTGATTGTCAATCCCCTGCTCACCATTCTAGGTGTCATCGGCAGGTTGTATGGAAAACGAACTTCTTCAGTTTGCTGAGAACAAAAATACAGAGCATAAATTTATCACAACAATTGTTGATGTTCCACAAATCTACAAAATGTATTCTCTATCAGTTCTTGAAAATCTAAAACATACAAGCACTGGTTGAATGTATATTTGCAATAGGGTTCCATATATAATACTTATGCATTTTTTTAGGTCACATGACCATACAATCAGTCTCTTCATCTGCAATATGTGTAAATGCTGGATAATCAAATTGTCTAAGACTGAAGACCAGCTTTCAAATAAAAAAATGACATTGTATGTATAATAACCAAATCCATGCGACATGTATTCAGTGTCTTCCACTAATATGTATAACATTATACTATTATGAAATTCCTAGCTGAATGCATCAACACTGACTTACAGGGGTAGCCAAGGCCTGGAATGGTGAACAGATTTTACCAAATCTTGATGTCAATGTCATGTCAACATCTCCAAATTTATGACGCCTTTCTTGTCGGCTGTACGTTCGTCGTGCTATGTCTTCCTCCACTCTGTGTCCAAGTAAACTCTGAAAGATCAGTAAGAAATTAGTCAAGTGTTTATACACAGACACCACCTTTTTTGAAATAATAGTGTCAGCATTTTCATCAGAGCAAATCCACAATTAATTCTTTTTTATCAAAACTTTCTGTGTACTATGCATGTACCTTCATGTGTATTGACCGTCTTGGCTGTCCAAAGTTGGCAAACGTAACCGATCTCTTGGATCTCCAGGAATATTCATCATTTGTGAAGAATTTTGCCCGCTGGGAATTTCCCGATCCATTTCTGTTTTCAGTGCCGTTCACTAAATTTGGTGCTGATTGTATCTGTATTCTTTTTATGTCTGCACTGATTGGACGTTCGTCCCTGGGTGACAGCGATGGTGATGAGATTCTGTCAGGTGACTGTCGTCGTCCATTGAACTTTGTTACAGGATGTTTGGTAGTATCTTCTTTCTGAATGGGACTTGAAGAGGACATTGATGAATCATCCTTTTCATTACCTTCAGAATTATTAGGCAAGTTTTCTGCATCACTTTTCATACCGTTTTCAACAATATCCGGAACAACAATACTGGCAACTACCAACAAAAAATAAACACCACATAAATGTCACAGATCCAGTGTTTGAAAAAGAAAATACATTGATGAACAAACTGACATGCATAATGTATATTACATTCTACAAGCTGAAGTTATCATCAACTGATATCACTTGCTGTTCATAGAGCTGGTTGATACTTACTGGTGGCATTATGGGGTAATATTATACACGAACTGGAATGTTTTAAAAATCGTCAGAAATACCACCCTTCTCAACAATGTTTTTTTCAAAATAAACTTGTTTGACCTTGCACCATGCAAGCAACATACCATTTTATGTTCACTGCAAGATCCTGCATTATGTGTGAGATTGAACATAAAAGCAGGACAAACAAAGATCATAGTAGCTAGCTCAAAACATAAACACGAAAGTATTTTGGGGTTTTTCTACACATTTGAGGATATGGTCAATTTTGATGAAGTAAGGGTAACTCAAAACCACATTCCCTTCTGAAAGAATGGCAGTTCGACAATGATATAGATTAAAATCAAATCATTTGATTTTTGCGACAGACATTTGGTTCAGGCAATACGCAGTGAACGTAAAATTACCTAAAGTATTGTTGTTATTCAATCAGAAATGCTCATAATGCAGAGATAAAAATAAGATATGGTTTTCTTTCTGAACTGAGAACGTGCAGACTAATGACATTCATCATGCATATCAGTTAGTGAAAACAACTTGCTGCAATAGTGCAATTCATCAGTTTCACTTCTATTGATTTATAAACTGCTATAAAGACTACCGGGTAATCTTAGACTAATTTGTTTGTTTTTTGCCAGTAATTCAGCCATTCCAAATATAATTATTTCTTCATGTCCACCTAAAGAGCTAAACTTAATGGGGGTTGCTGCATAAAAACATGTGTGTTTTTAATGAAATGATCATGCTAATTTTTTTAAGTGTTGGTATATATAAACAAGTCATTGAAAATGACACAGTCCCCGTTAAGTTCTCTTTGTGCTCGTCATATTAAAGCGGAGGGGTTGTCGCGAGTGTGTCCTTGAAACTTGAGTTCCACGTGGCGTATACAACAGATTGTTTATTTACATCAAAACACGTGTTTCGTGTCATAGTAATATGGCCAAAATAAAAACAGTCGTTATTCGGCCATCTTTGATCTGATTATGAAACACACTGATATGTATGATGTTGCCAAATACGAATGAAAATGGTACATAAATTGTGGAAATATAGTAGTAAGGCCAAAAAGTTAGATGGCTGTCAATCGGCCATCCTTGACCAGATTTTGAAACAAATTGTCATGGACATGCATCCTAACATGTATAAAGTACATGTATGTGCCAAATTTAAATGAAAACTGACAGAGCACGTCCAAGATACCGCATAAAAAAACAAAAACAAGATGCCTGCCAGTCGACCATCTTTGATCCAATTGTGAAATAAATCGTCATGGACATGTATCCTAACATGTATAATCTGTGTACCAAGTTTGAATGACAACTGACAAAGCATGT